CGAGGCTCTGGGCTGCGGGCAGAGAGCCGGGAAGGTTGGGTCGGGGCTGTTTTTTGGGTGTCCGGGGTGGATAAGCGAGGTGTGGGGGTGGCTGGCGGCGCTGCTTTGGGGTGAGCTCAGCACTGCCTTGGGAGAGGGTCTTGGGGTGGGGAGATGGCCTCTCCCCATCATCCATTACCGACTGCAAAATCCCCAGGAGCCTGGAAACATCCCTTGGCATTGTGTGTGCCAGGAGCTGGGCCTGCCCTTCCCTCCCGTGTCTGCGCCGTGTCCGGCTCCTCCGCGCTGTTCACAGGGGATTTGAGCTCCTCTTGCCGTTTGGGACACGGTGCAGTGCGAGGATTTCTCTCCCCGGGGACTGGGATCTGTGCCTCCCGTCTGTGTTTGGTCATTGCAAACTAGCAAGGCATCGAAAAGAGCTGTGTAATGATGGCTGGGGAAATGAGATTAGTCTCTTTCTAGAAGGAGCAGCCTTGACAGAGTAGTGCCAGCACTCCTTTCTACGCTTAGGATGGGACCGGAGCAATCAAAGAGCTCAGTATCTGCTCATGTGTGGCAGCGAGGTAGGCTGAAATGCTCCGAGGGTAACAAGAACTGGCAGCGTAACCTAGTTCTGCGCGAACTATAAAATCCTGTACGTAAAATGGAATTGCTGGAAGTAATTGATCCAGATTTTCTTTTCCTTCTGCCTTTGGGGTTAAAGTCAAGCTGCTTAAGAGAGCTTTCTGGTGTGCCCACCCTTGTCTCTGCTGTTCTGTTAAACGTAAGCTGTTCTCCGCATTGAAGCGGGGAGAATTCTGTTCTAAGTAAACGCGTTTAAACTGCCCCTTATCCTGCAGCCTTTCCCTTTTCCCAGAGCCTTCCAAAACTGGTGTTGACCCCGTCGCCTGTCAGCAGCCTCTGTGGCAGGTATTAAGTTCAGCTAGGATGGCAGCCAAGCAGTTGCCGCTGCAGCTGATGTCGTCAGAGAACGGTGTTTATCTGTGGCTGGCTGAAGCCTGTTTTTGAACACACACACACACACACACACACACATTTTTTAATACAGTAAGCTCAATGATTTGCCTGGTTTGTGTTCCTCCTGCTCCAGGGAGTTCTGCTGCCACCAACAAACCTGTTTCAGTTGAAAAGTTGGTCCAGCCTCTCTGGTTCGCTGCGTTGACGGTTGGCCTCGTTCACTGCCCGTATCTCTTGTGTTTCTGGTTAATCTTAAGGAGTATTTTAATTAGCCAGTAGCTCTGCCCTTGAAGTGTTAATGCTGCTCTGTAAGAGCGCAGCTTGGGCTGTGGGCAGCGAGCAGGGTGGCTTGCAGGTTCAGGTGAAGGCTTTGCATACTCTGTGCCTTACTTCTGCTTGATTCACCTCCAGCTTCAAACCATGATTCACTTGTGTTGCATTTCCTCACTGGGCTCGTAAAGAGGCACCCGGCTTTATTTCACGTGCACAAACATCTTCTGGAGTCATGGAGAGCTGCGGGATGTTATTGCTGTGACAGGACAGGTAGTGTGTCCGGTGCATTCGCATACCAGCGCCGAATTGGGCTGACGGGTGCTGACCTAAGCTCTTCTTCTCCCATGGCAGGTGCCTGTTAAAGCTGTGATGCAACACTAAATCTTCTCTCCGAGAGGTGTTTATAAGATGGAGATGGCCTGGAAAGCCCTGGCCCGTTGAAAAGGACTGGAGAGGTTAAAATTGAGTTCACTGAATCTGCAAGCAGGCAGGGTATAAGCAGATGCAACTGCCTCTAAAAGCCACCGCGTCTGTTTACTTTGGCTCAAGCTCGCACTTTAGCCCGGTTCATAATATCTGTTCTATTAATATTTATGTCCGAGGAGAGGTGAACTTTCTGCTGAAAACTGGCACGGAGAGCAGGGAAATGTCTGGGTACACAGGAGCCTACCGACAGCCTCTGCAGCAACGAGTGCGGCGCGGGCACAACCCAAAGCCGTCATTCGGTAACGCTAGACCGCGCGGCGTAAGCTGATGCTGCCGGGCTTCGGCCGCTCGGAGGTCTCAAATAATTGTCGACAGCTTCCTCTTCTGGCATCTCAGGATGTTTAGTCATTAGCTTGGGTGGTGGGATTTGATGTAAATTTAGGAGATGAAGTGGTTGCTTTAGTGGGCAGAAAATGAAAGGGGAGTACATGGGGGTCCATCTCCTTTAAGTCTTTCAGCATGGGGTACTCGTCACCGTGGGTTAAAGAGCAAAGGATCATCTGCCAAAGGAGAGGTTTTACTCCTGACAGCGCTGTCCCATCGGCAACTGCTTTACCCAAATTTGTTTCTGTGACTTTTACCAAGATGTGGTCCCTCTCTCCAGGGGCAGAGGAAGAAGGTAATAACAACAACAAGTGTGGATGTGTGAACAGACTTTTTCTTTAATCTTTTGCAGAGCAAAGAGTGGAAGATGTGCGACTGATTCGAGAGCAGCATCCAACTAAAATACCTGTAAGTTTGGTTCCTTTCAATTTTCAGTTCCAGTTTTCAGTTTCAGTTTCCAGTCTCACGCTCTTTTTAGTAGCTGTCAACCCGTACGAGAGCTGTCCAGGTTAAAATTTGGCTGTTCAGCCTGGATTTTGGAAACATTCTCAAGTTGGTAAGCGGCAGAGCCAGGTGCTGGCTGGGGATGGGAGGAAATGGGGTTTCCTGTGTACTGCAGTTGCGTGTTGTGACTTCAATGAAAACCACACCCAGGCTGAGCTCTGAAATCCTCCTGAGTGTTCAGCTCTTCTCAGTGTGTTTCTTCTCCAAAAGAAGAGGCTGCAGAGGTTAACCAAGTACACAGTAATGGGGAGGCAGATATGGTTTTCATCACCAATTTGTGCTGAGAAAGACAGAAACGCTTCCCTTCCAGGAAGTGGAGCTTTTCATGAGGTCTCCAGAAATGCTGCTTGGCTGTCAGACCCCTGCACCTCACCTCAGAGAGGGGATCAGCCCTCATCTTGTCACTCTCCTCTAGCTGGTCAGCTCCAGATGCTGCCTGCATTTTTATTTTCTTCTCTTTATTGGCATCCTCAAGGTTTACAGATGCAAAGCAAAGCATCCCAGGAAGCAAAAGGCACGGGTGGTGATGAGTTCTTCCCAGCTCACGGGCTTTGTGTGATGGCTGTGACTGAAGTAAGCAATAAATGCAAACAGGGAAGGTCTCAGGAGATCTTGGGGAACAGAAGCGAGACCTCAATCGGATGCCTGAGCTTTTGGTTCTCAGTGATGGGAGCTGGTGATCCCTGCGAGTGGAAATTCTGTGGACAAACTGTTTGCAAACTGCAGTTCCAGTTCGTTAACAGCAGCACGTGTTGCCTCTGTCAAATAGAAGCTGAAAGGTTTCCAGCTTTCCTTTAGCTTTCAAGTACCTCGCCTCGAAGCTGCTGCTGCTGTTGTACTGTGCTGTTGGGGTGAGAACAAGTCATGTTTTACAGCAGAGATTTCCTGAAGGTGCCGTTTCCCCAAAAGGCCCTTTCCTCACAAACCCATTCCCTGCCAGAAGTTTGCTTTTTCACCCACCTTTCACAGATCACTTCGCTGCAGTCCCCGAGCTCTGCGACCGCGGATTGAAACCCATCGATTTATAGCAGAGCTCTCATTTTAAATCAGCCATGGATACATTACAAGCAGAAATTCAGAGGTAAATAAGCAACTTGCTGAAGATTGCAGCGATGCAAACTCACAACCAGGCCTGCTGGGATCCCTGGGGGCTGGCAGCGGCTGCCTGGCCACGTCCTAGCTTGAATCCCTGCCTCGTTATTATCATTAGCAGTTCTGGATGAGATAAGATGGCAATGTCACGCTGGATGCTAAATCCCTCCTGCGCTGTCAACATCCTTCATTTTGCTGTTGGAAATCTCAGCTATTTCTTATGGTCTGCCTTTGAAAAATAGTGGTTTTTTTCCAGAATAAGCGAGCATTTCTTTAAAGTGGCGTAAGGGAGCCTTCCTCTGGTACAATTAAATTGGCTCAGTACCTCTTCACCTGTGCAGCTTCTGGGTGTCGACACAGCCAGACCCCGTGAGCGTGGATGCGATCCAAGCGGGTGGTGTCACGTAGCTACCGCTGGTTTAAAAACAACAAAACCCACGTGGCTCTGGAAACGGGAGCGCACGAATTCTGAGATCATTTCTTAAAAGCAGGAACTATGTACAGTTGCTGGGCAGGGTGCTGCTTAAATTGGCAAATGTGCAATTTCCTCCTGAATTAAAGAGTTACAACACAGCGATCTCGACAGAATTACTGGTTCCTAAGCGTGGTGTCTTGAGATTAAGGAGGAAATTCTCTCCTTGGAGGCTTTATACCCTTCAAAAGTTGCTTCCTCTCATGCATCAGAGTCACCATGGCAGGTGAATGGGAGAGCACACAAATCTGAGGTGGTGTTTTTAGAGGTTGCCTGAAAGTGGAGAAATTCTACTGAAAACTGGCTCAGCGTGCAGACTTCCATAGTAACGTGTTAGAGGGAAGTCTGCTTCATCTTTTTGTGGGTTTCCTTGTTGCTGGGTAGTTTGGTTTTAGATGAAATAATCCCAGTGAATGAGCTGTTGTAAAAGGGCGCTGCCGCTGTGGACGCGTGCTGTTAAATCCCCGTTCATTACTCCTTCGTGCAGTGGCTCTTGCAAACAGCACGTGAGACTTCAGGAAGATGATAATTGTTCCTTTCCAGATTGGAGATGCTGCGTTCACACACGGAGGAAAATGGAGTTTAGCAGAAATCCTTGCGCTTTGCTGTGTGTAAAATGGAGAGGTGAGGGCACCAGACACCGTTTCTGCCTTTCACATCTCCTGCTCCAATCTTTTTTTGTGTGTTTTAGGTGATCATCGAGAGGTACAAGGGAGAGAAGCAGCTTCCAGTTTTGGACAAGACCAAGTTCCTGGTGCCAGATCATGTCAACATGAGCGAGCTCATCAAAATCATCAGGTAGTGTGCTGTGATTTCGGTGTAAGCTGCAACCACCTCAGCCTTTATGGTTAATTCCCCACCTGGTGTACGCTTTTGGGAGCACTTTTAAGTGGGAGTTTGGGCTCAAAGCCAGAGCTCTTTGCTGTTGCTGAGGGTTGATTTTGGCACCCTGTGACCAGCATTTGACAGCGTTGAGGCCTAAAAACACCGGTTCAGAGCAGGGTCTTTTCATCGCAGCAGTTTGAGCACTGCTCCGCTCTGCTGCTCGAGCTTGGCTTACAAGAAAAGGCAAAGGGGAAACAGCCATAGAGTGGAAGTTGTGTGGTCTAAAGTTGTGGTCAGCAGTTCTGCCAGAGGTGCATTTCTGCTGGCTTTGTGTCAAGATGGAAGGTTTGGTCAGTGAGTCCTCGGGCAGTAAACTTGGAAGTCAGCAGCAAACCAGAGTTTGCTTTTCGTTGGTCACGGTGCAGCAGGGAACTGGTTCATGGAGGCCACAAGCTGTAAAAACTGAGAGTTGTCCCACGTGTCCACACCATTCCCTGCCTGAGAGGCTCATCTGAAATCTGTCACAAGCAAATCCCAGCTCTTACCTGAGCAGGAAAGCACAACAGGGGTTGGGAAGCAGGAACCAGGTTGTTCAGGTAATTTCTCATGAACATTAATGGCCCCGGGTAAAAAGGTTAAGAGCAAGCTGAAGGATTTCTCCTTTTCTCTTTGGCTTCATTGTCAGGAGGTGACTTGGTACCAACTGGACCTGGTCCCCAGGCAGCTCCTGTGCCCTTCCCAGCCCTTCCCTCGCCCTGCTCTCTTTGGGGTGGGGGGAGCTTGGTTTTGGAAGAGTCCCTTTCCTGGGCTGTTACTGGGAGGCTGAATAAATCCTGAGTTCAGGCTGCTGCTGCCGCTCTGCAGTGAGCAGAAACCCCTCTGGTCAGTTCTTTCTTTGGTTGCACCTCCACACACCTGAGTTCTTGCCTACCTGGTTTATGAAGTAGTGAGAGCGCTCCTCTCTGCAAACCTGCTTTCCAGCAGGCAGTTTAGCAGAAATACCCATTTCCCCCCAAACCAGGAGGAACGATCCAAGGGAAACCCCTGAGTCAGATGTTTTCTGTGCCGTGCAGTCTCTGTTGCCCTTCTGGAGCGTGGCTTTTCCAGTGAAAGGGCTTCTGGCAGTGGATGTGTGTGACCACTTCATACAGCTTGGAGGTGGGAAGCAGACGCCTTCTCCAGGGCTGCTTTGGGAGGGGACATCTTCCCGTTGGCAGCGGCGGAGGACGTTGTTTTTGTCCTAAAGCCGTTGTTAAATGAGTGGAAACGCGTGGTCATCTCTGTGAACCTCCTCCCCCAACAGGCGACGCCTGCAGCTGAACTCCAACCAGGCCTTCTTCCTGCTGGTGAACGGACAGAGCATGGTGAGCGTTTCCACACCCATATCCGAGGTGTACGAGAGCCAGAAGGACGAGGACGGGTTCCTCTACATGGTGTACGCCTCTCAGGAGACTTTCGGAGTGCAATCTTCTGTCTAAGACACGCGAGCGGCTTCTAGGATTTTGGTTTACCCTTGGCCATCACCCCCACTCTTCCCCACACACCCCCAGGGAAAGAACTGGATGTCACCTATGCTCCCAGTACCTTAGCATAGTCTTGCTTTAGCGGGTGTCTCATCTCACCTTGCCTTGTTTGTGACTATTAAACCGTTCAGACGAGCACCTCCGGCTTTGAAACCTGCTGTAATATTCCACACAGGCACATTTACATCTCTGGACTTTGTGCATGTGACAACAAAGGGACACTCGATTGACTTTACCAAGCAAACAGGCACCAGGGAGGAGCTAAAGTGTTTCGCGTGACAGTTTTCTGGAAAATTTCCCTATGATTCCTTAAAAGTTTTGTTTTTTTATAATGGGAAGGCTCCTCACGAGAGCAGCTGTGTTTTAATGTCCCAAAGGGGAGCTCTGTCTCCTGCAATGCTGCAGTGAGTTCAGGCTTGGGGTGAGCTGGGGGAGTCCCAACTCTTTTTTTTTTGTCTCTTTTTGTGGCACCGCAAACGTAGGCGCGGTGGCAGTTTCTGAAATAACTCGTACCAAACACCACAGCTTTATTGTAGTTTTAGGAAGTATTCAGCTGTAAAAATACACACCTGGACAGGTACCACCGAAATAAACTCCGGTCTGTTAGCAATTTCCAACGCCTGTGTGTTCAGTGAAGCACTGTCGTTCATACGAGCTCGCTTCCAAAAGATCATTTTCCCCCCTAGCCCAGAGGTTTGTGCTTCCCTTGCCTGGGAGAGTCTGCTGGGGGTGGCCATGGGACACCTCCGCACCCAGCACCGGGCTGGGACGAGCAACCCACACTGCCCAACAGGTTTGTCCCTCCTTGTGCACGTTACCACTGAGGAGGAGTCAGGGAGCCCTGCTTTTAGGAGCAGCTCAAGCCCAGGAGTTGCCGTCGCGAGTTGATGAACAAATGAGTTGAATTTTTGCCACTGGCACGGGGTGTGGAGGAGCTTGGGGGCGTCACTGTCCTGTGCAGAGCAAAGCTCTCTCGTAGGACCCGTGTTTTTCCTCTAGAGAAGCGTAGCAGGATGAGATCCCTCTTGTACATTGTGTGTCTGTGAATTAACTCCATCTGTTACTGGAAGCTGTCGTACCAACACGGGGGAAAAGAAGCAATACTACTGCGTCTTGGCACTCTGGCTCGGGAAGGTGTACACTTTGTACCCACCTGCACCTCTTTGCATGCATCTCGTTCACGCTGACTTCCGATCGTTTTTATTGTTCTTTGTGTTTCTACTCCACCGTAAACTTTTCAACGCAGCTCGTTCTATGTTTAGTTTTGTTCGTGGAGGAAATCGTTTAACTCCTAACTGACAACCACACTTGTAATTACAACGTGATCGACTGATACTCCTGTACAAACGTTGCTTTTTTTAAGAATTAATACAGTGCTGATACGGATGGATTACATCCCAACTTCATGGCGGCTTGTGTGGTTATTTCTAGACAGGTTTCTTACCTTGAATTTGGGTAGGGAAGAGCTCTGCTGCTTCGGGATGCACAAGGGGGTGAAGTTGGTCAACAGCCACTTGTACTCAACCTGCAGGTACTGGAGTCTGGGTGACACAAACGCAGGCACAAACCCTACGGGTGACAGACACTTGTACTCAACCTGCAGGTACTGGAGTCTGAGTGACACAAATGCAGGCACAAATCCTATAGGTGACAGAAACGCAGGCACAAATCCTATGGGTGACAGAAATGCAAGTACAAACCCTATGGGTGACAGAAATGTAGGCACAAATCCTATGGGTGACAAATGCAAGTACAAACCCTATAGGTGACAGAAATGCAGACACAAACCCTATGGGTGAAAGAAATGCAGGCACAAACCCTACAGATGACAGAAATGGAAGTACAAATCCTATGGGTGACACAAACGCAGGCACAAATCCTATGGGTGACAAATGGAAGTACAAACCCTATAGGAGACAGAAATGGAAGTACAAACCCTACAGGTGACAGAAATGCAGGCACAAATCCTATGGGCGACAGAAATGCAAGTACAAATCCTATGGGTGAGAAATGGAAGTACAAACCCTACGGGTGACAGAAATGCAGGCACAAACCCTATGGGTGACAGAAATGGAAGTACACACCCTCTAGGTGACAGAAATGCAGGCACAAACCCTACAGATGACAGAAATGGAAGTACAAATCCTATGGGTGACAAATGGAAGTACAAACCCTATAGGAGACAGAAATGGAAGTACAAACCCTACAGGTGACAGAAATGCAGGCACAAACCCTACAGATGACAGAAATGGAAGTACAAATCCTATGGGTGACAAATGGAAGTACAAACCCTATGGGTGACAGAAATGCAAGTACAGATCCTATGGGTGACAGAAACGCAGGCACAAACGCTGTCAGAGCAGCTTCAGCCCGGAGCTGTCAAGGAGAGCGACCGCAAGCGCTGCAGCAGACCCGTAACTCGGGAGCAGATGTCTGTGGGTGGAGAGACGGCAAAAGTACTAAAGGGAATTAAAGGAAAAAGTCCCTGCCAAGCTGGAGAAGCCCCCACACGCAGATGAAAGCCCCTTGAAATGAAGGAAACGCCAAGGGATTCTGTTTAACTCTTTATTTTCCATACATTAAATTTACTCAGATAAAAACATTCTAAAAATGTACAATTTTACTTTTAACAAAGTATAATAAAACATAAAAATCCCAATACCAGAATACTGGACATTTACAATTCAAAATCAAATTAGCTGAATATTAAATATTTACAAAACTATTTAAAATATTTATAAAGTTACATGCACAATTTGTAATACTAGAATTGACCGAAGTAAAAGAAATGGCTCAAACGGGAGCAGGAGTTTCCTTCATTCCTAGTGGAAAGTTATGTCCAAGAGAAGCTGTTAATCTGCACTTGAAAACACAGGATTTGCTTTCCGCTTCGGTACCACCGCGTTTCTTGCGTACGGAAGAAAAACTGAAGAGAGCAAATGGGTCATTCCAAGGGTTTCTCACGAAATAAACGGTGGTGGGAGGCGGGCAGGGGCCTCGAGCAGCAAAAGTGCTCGGTTACATGGATTTCCACCCAGATTTGCCCAAATTCTTCTCATTTATCAGCTGTTCCAGACTGCCCCGAACCCACAGCTCCGTGTGTCTGATAAAAGAGCTGACCCATACGCAGGGGGTCGGCGTGGTGGCGTTTTGGTTTTGGGGAGGAGTTTTGCTCTGCCGAATCCCGCAGACCACGTCTCATCTCCGAGCACCTTCCCCCTGAAGCTTGCCAGCGAGAAATCACAGAATTTTGGGTAAAGCTCTAATGGGAAACCATTACTTTCTGGAAGCCTGGCGCTTAATTTGCCAAGAATTCATGAGCGTGGCATGAAAAAGTTTGAGGAAAAGCGGAGTGTGCTGTGTTATTTGAAGGAAAAACGCCGTGGGACTCTCTGATCCATACCTCGCTTGCTAAAAAGAGACTTCCCTCTTCGCCCTCCTGCTGTTTAGCGTCGAGCCTGGCGTGTTTATTAACGCTTCATTTGCAGACCGGAGGAGTTTGCTGGGAAATCCCTCCTGTTTTGAGCATTTCCATCGCCAACGCTCCCGAAACCCGGGGGAAGCCTCCTCGCCAGCTCCGAATGCCCCTGCAGGGCGACGGCTCGGGATTCCCTCCCGTCTTGCGCTCCAAAAGCATCTCCATGCCACAGTGAGATCCACTTGGAGAACGACTTCTTTTTATACTTTCAGGAATAAATAGCGTTCTTCGAAACCTCCATCTCTCAGCGTATAAAAATAGGTTTTAAGCACTGGTTCTTTCAGCCAGTGAAGCTGGAAATAACTATTCTAAAACAAGCTGCCTTCTGGTTTTTTTTTTTTAGGGGGGAAAAGATGGATTTGTGCCTTTTAAAAACGGATCAAGGGTTATTTGACGGAACTAAAGTGCTCTGTTCGGCCTCGGCAACTTTGGTTGTTCGTGGTACGGCGCTCACGAGCGGATCCGGATCCGGATCCGGTTTAGGGAAGGCTCTGCAGGCGCATCAAAGGTCTCTGGTTCGCTCGCGGTGCTTTACAGTACTCCAGATTTCGGAATTTACCGAACTTACTCTAAAAAAACCAGACTTCACCGTTTCCAAACGTCACCTAAAAGTCCACAGAAGCCACCCGAAGAAACAACAGCCTTAACTTTACACAAAGGGAACGATCCCAAAGCAAGGAATGGAGCCGTTTGCGGGGCAGGACGTCGGTTTCTCAGGCATTTTGTCACCGTTTCGACTCCGCGATGAACGTCGGGTGAGACTGGCCCAGCCTTGGGTGTCACAACAAAATGTAACCGGTACGGAAGTGATGATGATGTCTTTTTTTGCTGTTGATTTTTGCTATTTCGAGAGGGGTTTTTAACACTTGCGCGTGTCTGGAAATACAGTTTATTTAAATACAATTCAGTTTTAAAATGCTGTGTAAAAAAAGTGAAAAGCAAAAAAACCAAAAAGAAAGGAAAAAAGAGTTAAGGTTTGGCTTTCAGCACATGTTCCAGGCCACTGGAGAGACCCTCGAAGCTGTCAAGAGTAAACATCGTCACTGAAAACTGCGCGTTTCCTTGGGCGTAATTCGGCGTGACGGATTGTTCCTACCATTGTCTCAAGCTCATTAAGGCAAAGTTAATTGCATTGTCAGTTTTCATCGCTTTAGTGTTGCAGGACTGAAGGTTGTTCATTAAAACCCGGGCATCCTCCTCCGAATGCAGCCGGCGGGAGCGTTTCGCCAGCGCCTGCAACGCCGCGGGTCGTGTCGCTGGGCTGAGAAGACACAAATCGTTGCATAGGAATCGAAAAGAGCTTTTGTTTTTTTAACCAAACCTCATGCAAATTTAGGATTTGGGTTCCACAAAGCCGAATCCGAATTGGGTTTGGTTTGGTGCCGTCCCGTGTTGGGTGTCCCTCTCCGGTGACGCTCGAGGACGACGACCGTGACGAAGGACGGCCCAGGACGCTGCTTTCCTATGGACGTGGTCC